GAAATGGTGTAACTTTGGCTATGTATATTTTCACCAAAAAAAAGGTTATCCAAGGTCAAGAAGGGAGAGTGTTGACATGTGGTGGGGTTCTTAACCAATGTCATAAAAAAAAAATGTGTACTGACTGTTTAATCAGAAACTATTTGTTCTGCCTTCATCTAAAGTACAATAAAAAAGTTAAAAAAGAAAAAAAGACACTTTGGAAAATATGCAAAAGTGAACTACCAAAATGGTGATTTTAGTTTAAATCATAATCACTACTCACCTACAACCAGGCCACATTCAGGACAAATCATATCACCAGCTCTGTAGTCCTCCACTAAAATCGCATCAGGGTGGTTTGGACATGTGACTCTTGGAAGAGCATCCAAACTAAATGAAAAAAAAAAATTTCATTTTTACATCCTGTAATCATCCGGGCAGGGGGGAAGGGTTTTAAACACTTTTCCAATACTATATGCTTACACTTAAACATTTAAGCTTAATCTTCAAAGTAAGCTTCCCAACTAGGTTGCTTCATATTCTAGCTTAGTAACTAGCAGGTAGATTCCACTCGAACTATTTTTATTAGAGTAGTTATTGATTTCCAGACATGCAAGGCTTTCAAAACTTAAATAGAAAACAAAAGGGTTTCTTCTCTTAAGAGTAACCTACTAAGATTTTTTAAAAAAATCTTGATTAGTATAACAATGACTATAATAACTTATGGTATTTACATATAACCATTTAGTTTGAGCCTTTCGCCACTCATTTCTCTGATTTATTTTTCTACTTGCTAGTTACCTTACAATACCAGAAAAATGTTTACCTGTGTTTTACTGGCTATGTAAAGGCATTCAACTGTGTAGATCACAACAAATCATGGATAACATTGCAAAGAATGGAAATTCCAGAGCAATTAATTTTGCTCATGAAGAACCTGTACGTAGACTAAGAGGCAGTTGTTCAAACAGACCAAGGGGATACTGCAAGGTTTAAAATCAGGAAAGTGTGCGTCAGGGTTGTATCCTTTCACCACACTTATTCAATCTGTATGCTGAGCAAATAATCCCAGAAGCTGGAGTGTATGAAGAACACGGCATCAGGATTGGAAGACGACTCATTAACAACCTGCATTATGCAGATGACACAGTCTTGCTTGCTGAAAGTGAGGGAGACTTGGAGCACTTACTGATGAAGATCAAAGACTACAGCATTCAGTATGAATTACACTTCAATATAAAGAAAACAAAAATCCTCACAACTGGACAAATAAGCAACATCGTGATAAGCGCAGAAAAGACTGAAGTTGCCAAGGATTTCATCTTTACTTGGATCCACCATCAACCCCCATGGACGCAGCAGTCAAGAAAACAAACAACGTATTACACTAGGCAAATCTGCTGCAAAAGATCTCTTTAAAATGTTAAAAAAGTGAAGATGTCACTTTGAGGACTAAGGTGTGCCTGACACAAGCCCTGGTATTTTCAATTGCCTCATATGCATGTGAAAGCTGGACAGTGAATAAGGAAGACTGAAGAACTCATGCTTTTGAATTATGGTGTTGGCGAGGAATACTGAATACACCACGAACTGCCAGAAGAATAACAAACCTGACTTGGAAGAAGCATAGCCAGAATGCTCCTTAAAAGCAAGGATGGCAAGACTTTGTCTCACATACTTTGGACATGTTATCAGGAAGGACCAGCGTGGAGAAGGACTTCATGCTTGGTAAAGTAGCGGGTCAGCGATAAAGAGAAAGATCCTCAAGGAGATGGACTGACACAGAGGCTGCAACAATGGGCTCAAGCATCACAATGATTGTGAGGATGGTGCAGAACCGGGCAGTATTTTGTTCTGATGTACACAGGGTCGCTATTTAGTTGGAACTGACTCAATGGCACCTAACAACGATACATGTAAGTAGGTATTTGTGGGTTTGGATAAACTTTTCTGTGCCAACAAACACCATTCAAAATGTTAACTCTCAAATAACTTTGAAAATGATACCCACTGGAAAATAATTCATATTCTTCAAAATGTATATATGCACGTTAACCAAAACAAGTCTTAGGTCTTCTCAATGGGAAAATAAGGGACTGATTTATATCCATGCTTTTACAACCTTTAGGAAAAAAAAATTTTTTTCCATTGTACTTCAGATGAAGGTTTACAGAACTAGCTTCTCATTAAAGTTAGTACACATACTGTTTTCTAACATTGGTTAACAACCCCATGACATGTCAACACTCTCCCTTCTCAACCTTGGGTTCCCTATTAACAGCTTTCCTGTCCCCTCCGGCCTTCACTCCTTGCTCCTAGGCTGGTGTGCCCCTTTAATCTTGTTTTGTTTTATGAGCTTCTCTAACCTTTGGCTGAAGGGTGAACCTCCAGAGTGACTTCATTACTGAGCTAAAAGGGTATCCGGGGGCCATACTCTAGGGGTTTCTCCAGTCTCTGTCAGGCCAGTAAGTCTGGTCTTTTTTTGTGAGTTAGAATTTTGTTCTACAATTTTTCTCCAGCTCTATCTGGGACCCTCTATTGTGATCCCTGCCAGAGCAGTCAGTGGTGGTAGCTGGGCACCATCTAGTTGTACTGGACTCAGTCTGGTAGAGGCCGTGGTAGTCGTGGCCCACTAGTCCTTTGGACTAATCTTTCCCTTGTATCTTTAGTTTTCTTCATTCTCTTTTGCTCCTGAAGGGGTGAAACCAGTGGAGTATCTTAGATGGCCACTTACAGGCTTTTAAGACCCCAGATGCTACTTACAAAAGTAGAATGTAGAACATCTTCTTTATAAACTATGTTATGCCAATGGAGCTAGATGTTCCCTGAGACCATGGTCCACACAGCCCTCAGCCCAGCAATTTGGTCCCTCAGGGAGTTTGGATGTGTCTATGGAGTTTCCATGACCTTGTCTGGTACAAGTTGTGCTGGCTTCCCCAGTATTGTGTACTGTCTTACCCTTTCCCATAGTTACCACTTATCTCTTGTCTATTTAGTGTTTTTCCCTCCCCACCCCTCCCTCGTAACCACCAAAGACTATTTCTTTTTGTGTGTAAACCTTTTCATGAGTTTTTACAGTAGTGGTCTCATACAATATTTGTCCTTTTGTGATTGACTTTTTTCACTCAGCATAATGTCCTCCAGATTCAGCACTGTTCTTTATTGTTGCATAATACTCCATTGCGTGTATGTTCCATAGTTTATCCATTTGACTGTTGATGGGCATTTAGGTTGTTTCCATCTTTTTGCTATTGTGAACAATGCTGCAATGAACATGGGTGTGCATATGTCTATTCATGTGATGACTCTTATTTCTCTAGGATATATTCCTAGGAGTGGGATTGCTGGATCATATGGTATTTCTATTTCTAGCTTTCTAAGGAAGTGCTGTATCATCTCTTAGGAAAATGCTTTAAGAAATTATGACATAAATAAAACATTAAACAAGCAAAAATTATGAAAAACTACACAGAAACAGGAAAATCTTAGCAGAGTAAGAAGAACTACAAACGAATAAAACGGGTAGCAATGTAGAACACAGCATACAAAAGGAAGGACTGAAACAAGGATGAATCTCAAAATGCCGATGCAAAAACTAGGCACAGAAGAATACATACTGGCTGATCCCATTTATGTAAACTTTAAAACAGGTGTTAGAAATCAGGACGTGGTACTCTTTGAGCAGAGGAAATCGTTGAGGACACAAGGGAGGCTTCTGGAATGTTAATGGCACTTGATTTCTTGACCTGGAAGGTAGCTACGTATGTGCACTCACTGTGTAATAATTGAGCTGTGCACTTAAAATTTGTGTTTACACAGGCCACTTTTTGGGGGCATGGGAGGTACGAACACATACAGATGTTTGTTAAAGCATAAAATCTCTAGGAAAACACCAAGAAACTAGTAACAATGGCAGCTCTGGAGGAGAATTAGATGGCTCAGAGCCAGGGAAGGAGGGAGATGGCTTTTCACTGTATACTCTTCTGTATTTCTTATTTTGCACTATTTGTACGTGTTATTGATCCAAAAATAAAATGGAATCATGCTAGAGTAGTCAACTTCTAACCAAATTACTCTTCAGAGTAATATAAACCAGGAACCATACCAGATGTGGGATGGTGGAGATAGTGAGAGAAATAATAGGGAAGGAATGGAGAAAACAATCACTACCACCATTAAAACAATTCAGACTATCTAACACGCCAAATATTCCCAAACTCATTTTATAGCCACCAGCCAGGTAAGAAAAATGAGATCCTCTATGCCATGTGCTTTACTGGGTGCCTACTATGTGTCTTGTGCTATATATACATTATCATTAATCTTCACAACAACCCTGCAAGATAGGGGTTACCTCCATTTAAAAGATTATGTTGAGAATAACTTGCCTGAGGTCATGGAACTAGTAAGTGGTGAAGCTTAGATTTGAACCCAGAACATTTGTGCTCTTCTCGGTGAGACCACCAAGTAGTTCCATAGCCTAGTAACTGTGCATCTTCTTCAAGGAAAAAAAAATGCTAAAAGCAGAAATACTAACATTTGCTACTTGTTCTTACTGGTAGAAGAAAAACTCAAGAGATGGATTAGTGCAAGGACACATCAAATTAAGAGTTGGCTATGTCTAAAAAAAGGTATATCAACTTTTTTTTTGTTTTTAAACAAATGAAAATAAAGGTGCACAAAGGTAAATGTATTATTTGGGTAAAGTATCGTGACTTTACTATAATCTGTATCATTTAACCAGGGCTTTGAACGGTTTGTTTTGGTTTCATCCCCTGCTGAGAATTTGCCTTTCTACCCCAGATACACTGAATCAGAATCTACATTTTAACAAGATCCATAAGAATCACGTGGGGATCTTGTTAAATGTAGATTCTGATTCAGTATATCTGGGGTGGAAAGGCAAATTCTCAGCAGGGGGTGGAACGAGCCAAACTGGTTAGAAGCCCTGCATTTAAATACCGCATTTTTTACAAATAAAATTTCCTGCTATAATATACTATATGCAAAGCTGTGCCCAAATATTATCACATTTACTGCCAAGATCTAATGCCATGAAAGACTGTAAGTTGTATTTTAGTGATATGGGGAAGCTAAAGTTTTCCATGTACATAGCAAAAAGGTGTTTTCTGGCCTGACAGAACCACACCCAGACAGAATAATTGAGCATTCAATCATAGAATTAGAATCAGTCAACAAGGGTGTCATTGGCCTTAAGGGTTATTTCCAAACATCCAAACAGGCCATTAGCTAAAGCTGCTCCCTTTGCCCTTTTTTTTTTTTTTTTTAATACCATAACATAAAATGGCCTAAGTCTTGGCAGACACTAGAAAGGGCTTGGACTTCTCCAGCTTATTATGTTTGATCAATGACTTTCATTGGGAACTCAATTCCACACACAAAAAATAACAGAATTTCCTTCCAGAAGCACTGTAGAAATTAATTTGAAACTTTCAATACATTTTGAGTTAACTAGAAGCCAACTGTGTGATAATAGGAAACAGGTATCTTAAGTTTCTACACTCTGTTCTAACTTTGGAAAAGTCAACATTGGCATGACTCAATTTACACCTATACAAAAATACTAATACCTACCTCATAGGAGTAATGAGAGATATAATTAGGGTCTGGAAGCATTTTTTAGGTTACAAGATTAAAGGCTGTCTCTAAAGGCACTACATACATTTCCTGTAGATATGGGTACTTTTGAAAAATGTTAGAGTGACATCTCAGCATATGTAAGTAATTTTCTGCAGGCATAAAATTTTCTTCAGGACTACGCAGAAGGCATTTGTAAAGAACTCTTTTAAAAAGGAACTAATCAACTTTTCAGAAATGCCCTAGCTTCCACTTCGGAGAGTAGCTGGGATGGCAACCGGTTTCCATTCAGCTTACCCAACGCTGACATTACCAACTCTTCAGCTGTCAGATCGATAGGGACCAGGAACTAACCCTTTCCCGCTCTCTGGAAAGGAGGATTCTCGGCCCCTCGGGCTGGTTGGGCCGTGGATGGAAACTTACGCGTAGAAAAAACTGACGAGGACGGCTGAAATACGGGCAAGAGGCGAGGCCAGAAGATGGGGACACAGGCGCCCGAGAAAGAAGACCCTACAAAGGAAAGTCTTTGGGAAGATCTAGGACACTGGGGCTACAACGCTGACGGCTAGGTACCCCCTGCGACATCCAGACAGTCCTGCCGTCTGTAAGCGTCTTTGTCCGGACCGGCCAGCCAGTCCCGTCGCGCCTCCCCCCTATCTCCGGCTGCTCGCTTCGCCCGACGCGGCTGCTTCAGTGGCCGCCTAGAGACCCTCCCCCCTCAGCTAGCCGGGCACAGTCGGACATACTAACCGGCTGGTAGACGCCATCTTCACAGCCACTGCGGCTTCCGCAACAAGCAACAACAGCAACACCGAGAACAGGAAGAGACTGTGGCGACAAGACGCTTGGAGACCGGCTCTTATAAGCAAGTCACCCACGCAGTCATAGTAGGGCGCGGCTACGGGTCGGGAGATAGGCCAAGAAAATTGAGATCTCGTGTGACATGTGCTTTGCGTTTTCTTATTTTCCTTTCCCGTTTCTGAAATTTGCCGCGTTGTTGCGTAAGTCAACGAAACAGCCTAGAGAAACTCTCAAAGGAACCCTGCAAACAGGCTACACCAGAACTGCCCTCAACCTGGCTGAGTTAAAACACGAAGAAAACTCCGGCGTCCTGGTGGGAACTAAACAAACCTATATCCCACAAAGGTTTAACACTCCTCCCGAAAGTCAGTTACTCTAGTTGGAGTGCTATGCTAACTTGCCCGAGGGGTGATTATTTCTGACTAAGGAATTTGGAGTAAAGAGAGAAATTCACTCAGGTCAGCCAGAACAGGCTCTGTCATCAGCCAGCATGCTGTGTCTTCTTAATCACGTCCCCTAGCCCATCCGTGCAAAGGGTAATAATACCTGCCTTGCATACCGTTTTAGAGTTGGCAGGAGATTAAACAAAAGCATGTGAGAGCACTCTACCGCGTGTGAGGCAGGGATATATGGGCCCTGCCATGTTTTTTCATGTCCTTTGCAAATTTGATAGCTATAGAGAACTTGGCAGAACGTCTAGATACGGCAAAAGGTCCCTAGATTTATTCATTAGCCAAACTAATGTCTTAATAATTATAATAACAACAATAATACCGCCACCACTTTGCTGAGAACAAATCACCCTTGACCCTGTGGGTGGGGATTGGACAAGAGAGGGTGCTCCGTGGTTTCTATGGTGATGAAGACTTAGAATATAGTGGCTGCTTTGTTCATATTGGGGATGGGACATAAATGCCACTGAGCGTGCATTGTTTCCTTGAGAAGGTAGGGGAGACTCTATTCCTTAGGAAGAAGAAGGGATGGAAGAGGAAGGAGTTTAGGAACTGAAATCTATATGGGGATAGGAGAGCATGTTTTCTTTCTGTCTGTGTCTTTCTTGTCTGTCTTTTTCAATCTTCCATTCTGTAATTCTCTAAAAACTTGACTGTACTCTTGTAAGTTTTTTTTTCTCCCTTAATATTTGAAGATAGTAAAATGTTGGTCATATTTTTTCTTTCTTAATATGTGAAAAAGAACGCAGCATCGGGATTGGAGGAAGACTTATTAACAACTTGCAATATGCAGATGACGCAACCTTCCTTGCTGAAATGGAATAGGACTTCAGTCACTTACTGATGAAGATCAAAGACTACAGCTTTCAGTATGGAAACATAAAGAAAATAAAAATCCTCACAACTGGACCAATAAGCAACATCATGATACATAGAGAAAAGATTGAAGTTGCTAAGGATTTCATTTTACTTGGATTCACAATCAACGCCCATAGAAGCAGCAGTCAAGAAATCAAACAACGTATTGCATTGGGCAAATCTGCAGCAAAAAACCTCTTTAAAGTGTTAAAAAGCAAAGATGTCACTTTGAGGACTAAGGTGCACCTGACCCAAGCCATAGTGTTTTCTTTCAGCATTAAATTATATTTATTATGGTTATTGCTGATATTTCGGTTAATTTTTGCCATCTTGTTTTGTGATTTCTATTTACCATGATTTTTTGGTCGTTTCTGGTTTTTTTGTTTGTTTATGTTGTAGTTAAGTGAAAGTTTACATTTCAAGTTAGTTTCTCTTACAAAATTTATACATACATTGTTACGTGACCCTAATTGCTCTCCCTATACTGTGACAGCACACTCCTCCCCTCCACCCAATTTCCCATGTCCACTCAACCAGCTCCCAACCCTCTCTGCCTTCTCATCTCACCTCTGGACAGAAGCTGCCCATTTAGTCTCGTGTATCAACTTGAGCTAAGAAGCGCAGTCTTCACAAGTATCATATTACGTCCCACAGTCTAGGCCATGGTGTTTTCAATCACCTCATATGCATGTGAAAGCTGGACAGTGAGTAAGGAAGAGCGAAGAAGAGTTGATGCCTTTGAATTTGGTGTTGGTGAAGAATATTAAATATACCATGGACTGCCAAAAGAATGAACAAATCTGTCTTGGAAGAAGTACAGCCAGAGTGCTTCTTAGAAGCGAGGATGACGAGACCTTGTCTTAAGTACTTTGGACATGCTATCAGAAGGGGTCCACTGGAGAAGGACATCATGCTTGGTAAAGTAGAGGGTCAGAGAAAAAGAGGGAGACCCTCAACGAGATGGATTGACATAGTGGCTGCAACAATGGGCTCAAGCATAGCAATGATTGTGAGGATGACGCAGGACTGGGCAGCATTTCGTTCTGTTGTGCATAGGGTCGCTATGAGTTGAAACCAACTTGACAGCACCTGACAACAACAACAATATTTGGAAAAGTTTCCAAAATGCCAACCTATTTCAGCTGTGCCAAGTGTAACTGGGAAATGGCTTGAGGGTGCTCTGCCCCCATTGGGTGGGAAGTTTTCATGGTGGAGCTGCTTAGCTTTGAGGAAAAGGAGGGAGAAAAGCAGGAGGAACAGTGGGCGTCATCTTGAGGATCAAAAATAAGTATGGTAGGCATTCAGTAAATGTTTGTTGAATGAAGAAACCATCAGAGAACTAGAAATCTCAGAGGCAGGCAGAGTGACTGGTTAAATTACTTGTGACCCACCTAGAAAGGCTCTTGATTTTTTTTTTAAATTGTGCTTTAGATGAAGGTTTACAGAGCAAATTAGTTTCTTATTGAACAATTAATACACATAATGTTTTGTGACATTGGTTGCCAATCTCACAACATGTCAACACTCTCCCCTTCTTGATCTTGGATTCCCCCTTACCAGCTTTCCTGTCCTCTCCTGCCTTCTCATCCTTGCCCCTGGGCTGGTGTGCCCATTTAGTCTCGTTTTGTTTTATAAGCCTGTCTAATCTTCGAATAAAGGTGAACCTCAGGAGTGACTTCAGTACTGGGTTGAAAGGGTATCCAGGGGCCATACTCTTGGGGTTTCTCCAGTCTCTGTCAGACCAGTAAGCCTGTTCTGTTTTTGTGAGTTAGAATTTTGTTCTACATTTTTCCCCAGCTCTGTCCAGGACTGTCTATTGTGATCTCTGTCAGAGCAGTCGGTGGTTGTAGCACCATTTAGTTGTGCTGGACTCAGTCTGGTGGAGGCTGTGGTAGTTGTGGTCCATTAGTAGAAAGGCTCTTATTTGTCATGACCTTGTAAGGATTTCTGTTTTATATTAACACTGAAAGCAACTAAGTAGGTCCATTCATTTTATCAGTATGACATTGGTAATTTATAAAGCATTTCATAACATTAAACCATTTAATGATTATATCTGATCCTGAGATTAAAACACACACACACACACAACTGGGATCTTATCACCTAGGAATCAGTGATCTATATAGACTAGTATTGACCAAAACTTCTGATTTTTGAGTACCATTATCATTTTTCATTTTCCATATCCATGCACCATCTGCACTAATATTTTATCTAAATTAATTCATCTTTTTAACTTAAAAATTCATTCTAAAAGTTTATACTACTGTAAAATCACAACTTGATATGCTAGTTTAGTTCTTATAAGATCTAAAATGCTTTACATACCTAATAAGTGATAAAGAAAAAGTTTATGAGCCACCTAGTTTTTTTTTTAATTTGTTTTGAGTTATAATTTATATACCATAGGATTGATTTGTTTTAAATGTACAATTCAATGATTTTACTAATTTTACCAACTTGTGCGACCATCACCACAGTCCAGTTTTGGAACATTTCCATCACCTCAATAAGATCCCTCATGGCCATTTACAGTTAAACCTAATCCACCCTCAGCCCCAGAAACCACTAACCTACTTTCTGTCTCTGTAGATTTGCCTTTTCCAGACATTTCATGTAAGTAGTGGTCTTTTGTGTCTGACTTCTTTAACGTGGCAGAATGTTTTGGAGGCTCGTTAGATTTATCTTGTGACTTCACTTTTGGAGACGCTGATGTATGTGTCTGTTATAAAAGTGTCTGGTGATGTTGGTAAAGATGGCAATTTCCTGACTTAAGGGGGCTTTGACAAGTTTTGTTTGGAAATTATAAGATATTCGCTGGACTAGGAAGAACGGAGGATTCAGTGGAATCTACAACCAGGTCTGACTGGACTGCATCAGAATTGGGATGAGACCTCTAAAACATTAGACCAGTCTCATATGCCTGTTAGCTAAGGGGGCATATATACTACTTCTCAACACCTCAGGGTTTTTTTAGATTAAAAAAAAATTTTTTTAATCACATATGAAAATATTCAAACACACTTAAAGTTAGAAAGAATAATATAATGAATCTGTATATACCCATCATTCAGATTAAACAGTTACCAAGATTTTGCCACATTTCTTTGATATATCCCTTCTTTTTTTTTCTTCCTTGGCTAAAATATTTTAAAACAAATCTTAGACATCACCTCAACCCATATATAACATAGTGTGCATTTCTAAAAATTATGATCTTTTTAACATTTTTAAGTAACATTATAATTGTTGTGAGTTGCTGATGAGTCAGCTGCAACTTGTGGTGACCTTGTATATAACAGAACAAAATGTTGCCTGGTCCTGCGCCATCTTCATGATATTGTTGATATGTTTGAATCCATTGTTGAGGCTATTATAATACTAATACTCACTATTATAATACTAAATTACCAGAGATATCTTTATACACAGATTTTTCAGTTGGCCATTGTCCTGGGCCTGCTTCTTAGTGGTCTGGTTTCACCTAGGCGGAAGAGTTAAGGCCCATCTGAAGCTAGGCAGCGCACATGTTCTAGTAACAACGAGCTCTGGAAGCCTGTTTCACGCTTGCAGTGCAGAGACACCCCTCACCTCTCCTTACCCCTCCCCAGAAGTAATATGAGGATGCCTATGCTGTAGGGCCCATAGGAAAAGGACCTGGTAGGACAGCAGAGCCTCATAGAAACTGGAGATTGATTTTGACTGTTCATCATTTGAAAGTTAGCCTTATTATGTCCTGATCTAATTTTTTCTTTTCTTTCTGA